CTCCGTGCCCCCCTCCTGCCCTCTGTGCCCCCCTCCTGCCCTCCGTGCTCCCTTCCTGCCTGCGGGCCTCGCAGCTGCTCTGTGATCGGATCCTTTGCTTCTCCTAGGAGTTGGTTGGGCACTAAAGGGTTAACTGGCAGCGGCTTAGGCGTCCCTGGGCATTTGCTTCTCAGGAAAGGGTAGGGAGGGTGAAGCTAACCACCATACACTGTCCTCTGGGTGTTCATCTTCCTAGCTCTCCAGAGCGAGAGGCTGGGGGGAGACCCACAAAACTGACTCCCCATCTTCTGCGACGGCCAGAGAGCCTCCCCTCCAGTGACTTCTGAAAGGTCTAGCTAGGGGTGGCGGCAGCCCCTCACTGATCATTGCTCCCTACAGCCCCATTCCGTGTCACCAAGGGACTAGACGAGGTCTTCCGGTCTGGGCCTCTGTGGCGTTGCTTCGAATTCCAGCATGGAGCTTTCCTCATAACGAAGCGGTTCTGTCCCCGGGTGCTGAACTGTGCGGGGCACCTAGGCAGCGCTCTGCATTTCAGAAGTTAGGGCTCGGAGCAGGCGGAGAAGAGCTTGGGGACCACTTTCAGCCCAACCCCCCTGTGTACCAATACAGGAAATAACCCCCGAGAAGGGTGTTAACACACAGTAGATGGTTCCCAAGGCAGCAAAACTAGGACCAGAATCCGACCCTGCCATGACGCAGGAGATCCACAGCGTCTATCCTCGGAAAAAGACTTAAATCACGACCAAGGAGATTTAGATCCAGCATAAAGAGGAGCTCGCTGGTAATGAAGATGATTAAATACTAGAACAGACAGCCACAGGGAATTGTGAAATCGTCCTCCCTGGAGATCTTTTAAAATAGGACAGTTAACCATCTGTCTGGGATGGTCTAAGTCCAGTCCTGCCTTGGAGGTAGGAAAACGAGAAGATCCCTCACCTGTCACGTTTTGGGGTGCTGCCATCAGACCTGAGCGTAGCCACAGCATCATGAGGATCCCAGGTCGGGCTGGGCTGGCCCCCTCCGGGTTCGGATGAGTGCAAGGTGAGGCTGCGGGGGCGCAGCACTGTTTGGATGAGGTGGGAGTGTCTCCCTGGAAGGGGTTAGCGCCGGGCTCCTGGGGGCAGAAATGGAGCTGTCTGTTCCCCAGACCCCGCCACTCCCTGGGCCCCAGTGACTCCAGGTCACCCATTCCCCGCCAGGTTAGTCTAATGGGCTGCAGCTGATGCCCGCAGAACCGAGGGACTGGGATGCACGGCGACGCAGGCCTCTCTGCTGTGATTCAACCGCACAGCCTGACACCCAGTGTGGCAGGAGAACAGTTTCCCCCATTTCTTAAAGAAATCCAGAATGGCTCTGGCCAGGGGAAACTCTCAGATCAACAGTCCCCGTCGGGACTGAGCTCCCATCACCCAGCCACACTCGCAGGCAACACAGGCTCAGTGGAGGCCACCCTGCAGGGGTGACGGTCTGCGTCGACCAGCAGGGGGCGCTCGCCCCCGCAGCCGCCCGTGGGCTCCTTGCAGTTTCCACTTGGGCCCGAGGTCACAGGCTTCTGTGACCTTTACACGTGCTGTTCCCTCTTCATCCCTTCGCCTTGCTAGCTCCCA